GGAAGATGTTTTCAGAACACAAGTCTCTCTCTCTCTTTTTAAGATTTTGTCTGAGAGAGAGAGAGCGAGCGAGCGCAAGCATGGGGAGGGGTAGAGAGAGAATTCCAAGCTGACTCTGCGCTGAGCAGGGACCCGGTTGCAGGGCTGGATCCCATGACCCTGAGATCACAATCCAAGCTGAAATCAAGAGCTGGACGCTTAATAGACTGAGCCACCCAGGCAGCCCCACAGGTAACTCTTAATAGGATAGATGATATGGGAAAAAAAAAAAAAAAAGGACCCTTGGAGAGGGGAATAGAATTCATTTAGTGAGAATTTCATTAAGTCACTACAAAAACGGGAGAACTTCTTACTCTTCCATTATGGTACAAAGTGGAATTCTCCTCCAAACTGTGTATTACACACAAACACTGGAGGGAAAATGCTATTTGTACCTTTTGTCTAATGGTTGTAGAAAGGCCCTCCAATTGCCCTGAAAAGTCACCGTAAGGCTGTTCACTGCAGAGCAGAGATAGGTGTATGGTAGGCCATTCCTGGACTTGAACTCAGCATGTGAAGTTACAGAGACACTAAAAGGCACAACCTCACTTTAAGGTATAGACTCCTCTCTCTCCACAGGCAGCTTTCTGGTGACTGTCCTGGGGGAGTGTCTGGGTCTTCTGGCAATAACATCTGGATATAAAACCGTTAACACTGGCATTGCTCTGGATGGTCCTTGAAAAGTTCCATGTTCGGTGAGTGTAGCATGGTGTGTGCACTGCTGTGATTATGCCCCTGGGTGATTTTAAGGGGGCAGACACACACAGGAGTGAATCAAGAGAATGTTTGGTTTTGCCTAAGAATCCATTTATAAGATGTTCAAGTCTACACACGTGTGGCAGAAGTTTTATTCTGAGGTCTACATAAAAAAAATCATTGAGCCAGGGGAAGCCTGGGTGGCTCAGTCCCTTGAGCATCCGACTCCTGATTGCGACTCAGGTCTCGAACTCAGGGTCATGAGACTGAGCCTATACTGGGATCTGTGCTGGGCATGGAGCCTGCTTGAGATTCTCTCTCCCTCTCCCTTTCCCCTCCACCTGCTCTTCCCTTCTTTCTCTTAAACAACACGACCACCACTACCAACAAAGGTAATTTAGCCAGGAGGTACAAGTTCATGCCTCAGTGTTCTCTACTGTGTCAAAAATGTGGCATGAGTTAGTTGTTTTTAATAAGACTTAAAATATATTTTAAAAAACACACTGTTGGAACTTTTGTGGACTCTCTGGATGCCCTTTGTAGGACCTAGTAACTCCACAGAACACAGTCTCACGTCCTCTGAGGTACTGGCCTACGGTGTGGAGAGGAGGAAGGGAGCGGGGACGGTATGTGAGAGCCAGAATATTGACGTTAGATTTCCCCAAGCTGTTTACAATCTGTTTGGTGAGTTCAGACTCAACCTGGTCACAAACTGCTTGTCTGAGTCTCAGTTTCCCCACCTGCCAAACGAGGCAGTTGGTAAGGAGTTCTCCAAACACTGCATCCAATGGCAATAGTACCGTGTCCCCTCTGCGTAGACCAATTCAGGAAAACAGTAATAAACATTTGACATCACAGAACCATGAAGACTGTTCCCTCCCTGGGCTGCGGGTCACAGTGCTTCATGATGATCAGAGTCATCATCACACTGTGGTGATGTCCCAGGTCCTGCTCCTCAGACTCTCCACGGCAGACCTGCGAGCACAACCACGTGTGACCAAAACTGCTGGCTGAGTGGTCGGTCGCTCTTTCTCTCTTTTATCCTGACAGACAAAAATGAGTCGTACCATACACTGCATATGACATGGGAAGTACTTAGAAATGTCGACTTTAGAACGACTCTAAATATCATTTTAGCTAGCCTTGTAGTCATTCCACTGAATAAGCATGTATTACTGAAACACTTCTGTCACCAAGATTATATAACCCATGAGTCATGATTCTTACACACGTCACTTACATGCAATGGAAAGAACCTCCCTGTAACCTACTCTCTTCGACCACAAACGTCGTCGTATTTCAATACTGGTCATAGGAATTGATGCTCACGGTCTCAGAGACATTTCTGATAAAAATAGCCCACGGCAGGTATTTAGGGGTAATGGGGTCCCACCGCGCTTCACAGCCCCAGCTCCTTCCTGCAGCACAAGATCTCACACACATAGTTACGTGCGTCCCAAGCCCAATGTGCCTGCGAACTGTTGCCCTCAGACTTGGGTGAACACATAGGTAGTACGATCTACCATCAGGAGGAAGGACCCATTCGGTCAGGGAACTGCAATGCCCTGAGTGTGGTGGGGTGAGGGTGGGGGTCTCGGACTCCAGTCGGAGTATCTCCAGCTGGATTCGATGCTCCACGGACGGCGGCCCAGTTGGCGCAGGGCCAGTGCAGGCCCCCCACAAGTACAAGATCCAGGCCAGGGGCCCCTCCTGCCTGAGTCTAAGGCATTCACAGTAGCCATTCGCATCTTCGTTCTACAATCTTTAAATAAACAGGTCATTGTTACACAGCCTAAGTCACGCACCACCCACAGCTATGACCATGGTCCACTCTTATAATAACCGCCCTCAATTTTTTCTCAAAAAAAAAAAAAAAAACAAAAAAAAAACCCAACAATTCCTTCAAGGAGCATACAGCCTGATCCAGAGGACCCTAAAAATAATTACAAACAAGCTAGAAAACAGTATTATGAAAGGCACGAATAAGATGTCACTCTGGAAACACTGAGGGAGAAAGGTGGGACTGATTTCTGCAGGGAGTATGAGAAGGGGACATCTAAGTCTGGCTTTGGAAGAAAACGAATGTAGTAGCATTTCTCATGGCCCTAAGATGGCAGTTTCGAATCAGTTAACTTGTAATTCCTTTAACATTCCACAGATTAAGTTGATTCCCAGGTCCTGTATGACATAACCCACTAAAAAATGTTTATTTCCAGGAAGTGGAGTGCAGTCTTTTCTCTTCAAGAAATTCTAAAAATAAATACCAGTTCAGTCTGAAAAACTGATTTTAAGTCTTTATATATCACCACGTATATGCTAACTAATGCATCACTAAACTAAAAGGACTTGTCCTTAAATAGAAAAACAGAAAACAATGGGAAAAATTTTAAATGCAGTACCCTTTAGGAATCATAACCTTTATTACTGACATTAAATTCCAGCTATCATTCTTGCAAATAACGTCCAATTTGTTTCAGTGTCTTTCCCAGTTGCTAGTATATTTTACTTTCTATCACCACAGGAAATACAGAATATACAGTACAAATTAGACATTGAAAAATCAGGTATTTATGACAACCCTTTCCCTTTTCTCTATGAAATAATTTGTCTACATTTTCCTGTCTGAACATATCAACTTTCAGCAAGAATGGAATGTTAATTGATGTTACGCACAAGCTGGGCTATCATTCCTCAAATTTACTAAGAAAAAAAAAACCAAAACCCAGAAAACAAACAAAAAATCCCAAAACAAAACCAACTGGGTTTCCTGTTTTTATTTATGGTTTTTTGTGCCCATGCTTCCCTCAATGAAAGTACCTAAGGAGTCAGCTCCTTCCATTTGCTCCCCTGATAACCACTGGAATCACAAAACCTATTTTAAGCTTTTCCTCAGGGACTCCAAACACCACGCACAACTATATTCTAGGGAAGCCCACAGCCTACCTAACCCTTCCCACCAGGGAAACCCACAGACTCAGCAGTTCGGCTGTGATCATATACGAATACAAGGGCTCACTCGACCCAGCCCAAAGCTGAGGCGTATCCTTTAAATACAATCTAGTGCCTTGTCTTCTCAAAAGTATGATTTATCTTTCAACAATGGTGACACACTCCAAGGAAGCCTCTGTAAAAATTCTGATGCCCCAGGTAAAGCATAAAATGCTGAGAAAGTATGTGGTCTTACGTGTCCAGATATAGTATCCATGTTCTGGGGGTGGGGAAATGGAATACTTTTGTAAACTGGAGTTTTCTTAAGACAAGTTATCTCAGTGAATTTCTAACTGCCCTTCTGTCTATTTCTCAGCTGAGGCATTACTGGAATTTGGGTAAACAATTCTTTGGTGGGCAGAGTATCAGCCTCCTTGTAGCCGCTGCCATCCCTCAAGTCATTAGGATGACCAAAGATGCCACCATAAATTTCTCAACAGTGCCCTCCACCCAGGACCATGTGGCCCCTCATTGAGAATCGCTTCAAGGCTAGAGGTGGACTATGTGAAAAATGGCATACTGACCCAAGAAGAGTCTTTTTCTTAAGGCTTAATCTAATGCTTTGAGGACAATTTTTATAATCTTCGTGGACCCAAGGGGATTCTCAGCATCAACCTCCTACCCCAAGGAAGTAGGACAGTAAAGGGACATTCCTTGGCTTTTTGTATCTCTGCATGAATTCACTACATGTAAAACAGGTCTTTCAAAGATAAATGTTACCAGTGCCTACTGACAGGCAGAAGTGTGGTTGAGGGGGTGTGAGGGATGGGTGCTGCTTGTTCATGGAGCATCCTGGTTCACTGTAAATTTAATTTCTTCTTCATAGTCAGCACCAGAGCTTCAGAAGAGAGCTTTCACACACCTGCACAGGCACCTGGCTGTTTCTCAAACCAGGACGCTACTGACAGATCAACATTCCTGGGGCTCTTCCTCCCTAACTCCTTGAGCTGTGTTTCCCCAGACTCTCTGTATGCAGCTCTGAAAACAGTGGTTATGAGAAAAAGCATTTGGAAATTTTTAACTGATTCCTTTCTAGTGGCGACAACATAACAGACTATTTCTGCAATGGACCTTGTCCATGACGAGCCAAGTCTGGATGTGCCTGTAGTTGTAAGCAAAACCCTTTCCTTCTAGCCCTGCTTTTTAAAGAGCGCAAAGACATTTTGTACCCCAACTGACCAGAGGCAGTAATAATCTCAGTGGTATGGTATGGGGGCAGTACATCATTTAATAGAGGAAATATAAGCTTAATGAAACAATAGCACATTCTCACTCACCACTGAGGTAAGAGCCATCTGGAAACTGTAGATGCGGGCAAGGCCGAAGTCAGCCAGCTTTATTTGTCCACTGCTGGTCACCAGAATGTTCTGTGGTTTTAGGTCACGATGCACTACTCGGTGAGAATGAAGAAAATCTAGACCTCGGAGAAGCTGAAACATCATGTCCTAAATAAAATGAAAAAAAGAACATCAATAAACTGTAAAAACAGAATTCAACATGCGGAATCATTAGCATTGGAAAGCATTTGACAAGTATTTACTGAAGAAATCAATCTGTCTTCCTTCCCACCTCTCCAGTCTCCCATTCTCAAGGTCACTAACAAAAAATTTCAGGAAATTTTAAAATAGTTAAAAATTAAACTATTAAATTTAAATAAAAGGAAAATGAAATGAAAGGAAAATTTAAAAATAGTTTCAGGTGGCACTGGAAATATTCTGGAGGAAAAATATCAAACTGGTGTCTGTAGTAAACTGGGGAGAGGAAGTAAGCGGTTAAGACCGAGACACTTTTTATTTCATGTATTTTTATATGGTTTAATATGTTATTTACACAATTAAAACCAAGTAAATGGTAGTAATATAATGGTAATCCCTATTACTTTTATAGTACCTAACACTAAGCAATCACTACACGTCAAGCACTGTTCTAAACACATTCTGTTTAGTAACTCAATACACAACGCAACACTGGGTGAATAACAGCGTTACCCCCATTTTATAGGCCAAGAAACTGATTCACAGGTATATTTAATTATCTCAAAGTAACACCACTAGCCAAGAAGTCAGTCTTGATTCAAACCATAGTCTAGAAAAAGTGGCTTCAAATCCCCAAAGCACTCCTTTATTAGATCAATGATTGAATGAATACGTAAAGCCAAGTAAGCCATTTAATGTCCCCAAGCCTCCATTCCCGTCTGTAAAATGGGAAAGCAACAAAACTTCCTTCACAGGATCACTGTTTGTAAAGCACTTAGCATAGTAGTAAGCACTCAATAAATGGCAGCTCTTAATGCTATCACTACCAACCAGCATGGATCCGGCAGTAGGGGGGACTCCCAAAAAATAAACCAATGTCCCATCTTTCTCTAACTTTGGAACTGGTAAAATGAGAAGTTTTAAACCTCAGAAACAGTGTGCGAAAGTAGGAATTCAAGATACTGACTATGTGATCCTTTGAAATCTTGGGTTAACCAGACTGACCTACCCTCCCAAATATTGTACAAATGGTGTATACAAAGGAGGATGGAATTATTTTGCTCATATAAGGATTAGACAGATGGGAAGGCAGCATCATGGGCTTCAGAGCTGGCAGAGGCTGTGAGGACATCCTTGTTCATCAACTGGACCATATTTGGTTATTGGTTGACAGTACTGGTTTTTCCTTCAGAGCTGGGAGTTCTGTCTTTCCGTGAGGTCTTGTGGAAAACCAAAGCCTCAGTTTTCCAGAAGACAGTGCTCACTTTTTATAATATCATGAAATTACATGAAGTAACATCTGCCAAGGGGCCGGGGGGGGCTTTGTGGAACATGGTAAGCATTCATTCAGTGACAATCACTCACATGTCCTGTTTCCCCAGGGAGACAGTCACAAACAACTCTAAGAAAATGTGGCCATTGACAAGGTCAGCGAATCTGCTGAATCCTTAGTATTGGAAATGCAAGGTCACAGGTATCCTAGAATCCCTCGGAGATGCCCGTCCGTGGACATGCTGAACGAGGAGGGTTTACCTTCTAGGTTTTCAAAGGCAGAACTCTTAGCAAAAACTGCACTGTTGAGGGTCATTCCTTAATGCCTGAGAACCACTGCAGGTCACACACCTCACAATGTACACACTTCCGGTGTGAAAATGAAGCATGCGGTTTACAAAAGTAGTGGGGCCAATCAGTCATTACCGGAAATGTATGCACGTGACTTTTAAGGCCTGGATTTTATTTTATTTTTTTTAAAGATTTATTTATTTGACAGACAGAAATCACAAGGAGGCAGAGAGGCAGGCAGAGAGAGAGGAGGAAGCAGGCTCCCTGCTGAGCAGAGAGCCCGATGCAGGGCTCGATCCCAGGACCCTGGGATCATGACCCGAGCCGAAGGCAGAGGCTTTAACCCACTGAGCCACCCAGGCGCCCCAAGGCCTGGATTTTAAACAGCATGATTATCCTAAAGTAATGGCATGCTAGCCTATCATCTTTCCCTTCTTCTACCCTAAATACCACCCATTTAACACTGCACAAAGAATAAATCGGTTTGGTTCATTTTTCAGTGCTCTGATAGGTTAAGCAGACCATTAACAGAATAAAAATTTTAAAATTTGAACTAATTAATTAAAGCCCATCTAAAGTTTATAAAAGCCTGAACCACAGAGTTAAAAAAAAATGTGTATGGCCTTTATTTGTGTATTTATTTATACAAGATGTACATCTTTCTTAACTACTAAATCGGTACATGCTTAATGCAGAAATTGTTTTAAAAATCCAGAGGATGGGGGAGCCTGGATGGCTCAATCGGTTAAGCATCTAACTCTTCTTTTTTTTTTTTTCTTTTTAAAGATTTTATTTATTTATTTAGCAGAGAGAGAGAGAGAGATCACAAGTAGGCAGAGAGGCAGGCAGAGAGAGAGGGGGAAGCAGGCTTCCCGCTGAGCAGAGAGCCCGATGTGGGCCTCGATCCAAGGACCCTGAGATTATGACCTGAGCCAAAGGCAGAGGCTTAACCCACTGAGCCACCCCAGTGCCCTAAGCATCCAACTCTAGATTTCTGCTGAGGTCATGATCTCAGGGTCACGAGATGGAGCCCCACGTGGGGCTCCACGCTCAGCATGCAGTCTGTTTGTCCCTCTCTGTTCCTCTCCCTGCTCTCTCTCAAATAAATAAATAAATATTTTTTAAAAATCCAGAGGAAGAACATGAATCACTCAAAATCCTACCATTTAGAGAACAGAGAAAACATCACCATTAAACAATGTTTGTCTTTCTGGTCTTTCAAAAATTACAGATGTTGCTATAGTTATAGGAATAAATATACAGTATTTACATATATATACAACATATAGCACATATAAAGAATATTAATATACACATGTATTTATAAATAAAAATGATTATTATTCTGTACACATTACTTTGGGGTTGTTTTAAAGGCATTTAACAATTCAATATGAATATTTTTGCCATGTCAACAAAATTCTACTACTATATATATATTTTTTTAATGGAACATTATTTTTTAAGATTTTATTTATTTGACAGACAGAGATCACAAGTAGGCAGAGAGGCAGGCAGAGAGAGAAAGGGAAGCAGGCTCCCCTGTGAGCAGAGAGCCCAATGTGGGGCTTGATCCCAGGACCCTGGGATCATGACCTGAGCTGAAGGCAGAGGCTTTAACCCACTGAGCCACCCAGGCGCCCCTAGAACATGATTTTTAATGGCTGCATGGTTTTCTTCCCTGGGATATGCCATCATCATTATTTGGTTTTAGTTACGTTATTTTGGAACTTCTACCAAGAGTCTAGTCCCCCTTCATTTAAAGGCTGGGGTACTTAAACTATTACAACCAGCACAGTTTAAGTAGTGTCAACCCATGTAAATGCACTAATGCTGATTCCATGTAAATGATGCTTATAGATCTATGGGAAGATGATTTTATGTAAGATTACTATTCTTCAGATTTTACTACGCTATTAAAATTTTTTTTTGTTTTTTTTTTTTTTGGTGAGCAAATAGGGTTTTCTTTTAATCCTACAATATTCAGCTACAAAAGAGTTTTTAACTCTGTGAGCTTTGAATTAAATGATTTAAAAAATTTTTGCCCAAGTCTCATGATCTTCAGTAATTCAACTGTGAGGTAGTTTGAGGCATGTTATAGACTTATAGTAAGTGTGATGTGGGAACCCTCCTCAATCTTTAGTGTCTTTCACTGGAACGCCTAATCTCAAAGGGAAAATACACTCAGCTATGTCAGGGACTCCAGTCACAAAGAAGAGTAAGACATGGTCCCAATTCTTGAGAATGGTATGAACGAATAAAACTGTTACACTAAACATGGCAGGAAAAAACACCTTTCCTTCAGAATCACAAGAAGTGCTTGGATCAAAGACATTTCAAAGGACTCTTAACCTTGTTACCTGTTCGATCTCAGTTTACAGTATTGTGAAACATACTTTTAAATTAGCTCCTCAAGATTTTAATCTAAATTAATCTATCTTATATGAAACACATATTTCACAGTAATCCTGGTGATATAAGGCAATGAAACTACAGATACTGCCAATTAAGGCTCTTTAAGTTAAATACAGATTTAAACCTTTTAACATTACAATGCATAATTCTGGTAGAAAAGGTTTAAACATCTAGTCCTGCTTAGGATAAACAGTCACTTGGGGCCCTCACTCGAAGCAGGTGTCGTGGAAGTATGTTTCAACAGGACACCATCATGGAATGAAGTCTGGCTCCCAGTGACTTTGGGTGGTGTTTTGTCCTGGGTGACACCCTCTTAGAAGATTCTGGACTTTACTCTGAATACTAGAAATCTGTAAAGCTGTGTAATCATTTCTTAAAGGTGTTCTAGAGTTTCAGTTCTGTCATTTCTTTAAAAACAAAACAAACAAGCAAACTGAAAACTTACCTCGAGCTTTTCTAATGGGAAAAACTTTTATTATTGGGTCTTTTTCCAATTACAAGGTGTAATTAGTACCAAAAGATACTAAAACATCCAATTTATACCATACAGTAAATCACAGAAATGACAACTTTCAATGGACAATTCTGGATTTTTGGCTTTATCTATGTTGACATAGTCATGCCCTCAAGGTTTAAGTGACAAAAATATACATCATCAGTCTAACTACTTAAAAACCAAAAATAAGGCATAAACAACCACAGTCAATGATAATCATTTTTGTCCTCCTTATAATGTGTAAATTACAGTATTTTCAAATTTGTTATTCAAGTTTCAAGTATCTTCATAATGATTTGTCATTTCCTCCAAAGTCCTCCTATCTGGTTTGTTTTGTATGAAGGGTATTATGGGAGTCCACAGTTTAAAATGGATGACATAGGACAGGGGCGCCTGGGTGGCTCAGTGGGTTAAAGCCTCTGCCTTTGGCTCAGGTCATGAACCCAGGGTCCTGGGATCCAGCCCTGCATCGGGCTCTCTGCTCAGCAGGGAGCCT